TCTATCCTATTCACGACCCGATCCTATCCCTAATTCGAATTCATATGAATAAAACGCATTCAATTTCAAAATTATCTTAAAGATTGCATACGTGATAAATTTTATTCCAAAAATTTATTGCTCGCATGTTAATCAAGCAGTGTTCCAGACCTATTGTGAGCTTTCCAGTACTACAACAAGCAACCATATATTTAATTGGTGATCAAGCAATCAAATAATGAAATTAAGCATGCAAGATTAATAAAAATTGCGAGAATTCAACTAAAACACGTCTCGAATTAAAATTAAATCATAAAAGGTTTCATCTTCATCCAATACATCAAAAATTTAGCCTAGCATAATATTGGAATCAAACAAAGAAAGTTTAGATGATATCACCGCGAAACTAATTTAACGTGACAGATTTCGTGATTAATCTCCAAATTCCTTGCACAGTTATTGAAGATTAATTGCACAAGTAACTCTGAAATTAATTCTCTCTGCACGTGAAAATATATCTTCATCCATTTCTACCATTGTATGCATGTAAACAACTTTCTTCCTCGGCCGCCAAATTCTGTGTGTCTCTAAGATCAATTTCCAACTTTCTGTATATCAAAATATATATGTAGCAGCCAACAACCCTTTGTTTGAAACCAATAAATGGACTTGAAAATTCTGTCTTTTCCAATCCACTCGCTGCCACCAACTTTATATATATTTTAATCAATTTGCCATTAATTCTCCTCCCTTCTCTGCCTCTTTCTGTGGGTATGTATGTATATCAATTAAATCACAAGGCTGCCCCCTTTTTTCCTTCCTTCTCGCCGTTTTCTGTGGTTGAGTATATATATTTTTTTTCAGCCCCCAAAAAACTGCTGCAATGTTTCGGTAATATGTATATATATATATACGTGCAATCAACCGCCCATCACAAGAATTCTAGGTTAGTCTCCCAGTCCAGTTGCCGGCCCAATTGGTATATTTATATAAAATATAATTCAGCCCTTGTCCGCCAGCAAGTATCTTTCAATAGGAGCCCAAGTGATTCTTTCATTTGATTTCCAATTGCAAGTCCAAAGTAAATTTCAATTAATTCCAATGCAAATTTAATTTAATATTAATCTCCAATGTTTCATCTTTCCCAACGAATGCAATTGAGTCCTTCACTTTCTTTCGTGAGAATTTGATCTCCGAATTTTGCATCCAATGGTCAATTTAATCCCCGCACTTGGACTTTGCTCTATTTTGCCTATTTTGCTTCTTTCTTCACTTCTTCGTCCAAACACGAGTTTTACCTAAGAAAAATAATACAATACAATTTAGGTCATATTTTCTCAAAAAGAACAATAAAATTCTGTAATTTAAAGTCCCAAATAAGTGTAGAAAATACACTTATCATAACGCCTCACGAAGGTGCCCTTAGGTGTAATAGCTTATCTTACTCAATGAAAAACCTTGGCAATGGCGAATGATGAGGGCGCTACGGAAAGGCCCTAGCTGGGACATCCCGGTGCCCCTACTGAGCCCACAAATCCAAGTATTTTTTATGCTAACAGGCAATCTTGAATCTCCACGCTCATCCCGCGAAGACATACAGTCGACATAGCCCATGAGGCTAGACAGAGAGTCTTAGAAAGTCAAAAAATTTGCTAAGTCCCTAAACCGCCAGACCACCTCCCGACAATCGACATAGCCCACGCGACTAGGCAGAAAGCCTTAGAAAGTCAAAAAATTGGCTAAAGTCCTAAATAGTCAGACCACCTCCCGACGATCGACATAGCCTACGCGGCTAGGCGGAGAGCCTTGAAAAGTCAAAAAATTGGCTAAGACCCTAAACCGCCAGACGACCTCCCTACGATCGACATAGCCCACGAGGCTAGGCGGAGAGCCTTGAAAAGTCAAAAACTTGGCTAAGGCCTTAAACCGCCAGACCACCTCCCAACAGTCGATATAGCCAACACGGCTAGGCGGAGAGCTTTGAAAAGTCAAAAAATTGGCTAAGGCTCTAAACCGCCAGACAACCTCCCTACGGTCGACATAGCCCACAAGGTTAGGCGGAAATCCTTGAAAAGCCAAAAAACTGGCTGGGGCCCTTTACCATCGGGCCACCTCCCGATGGTCGACATAGCTCATGCAGCAAGGCGGAGAGCCTTGAAAAGCTAAAAAGTTGGCTAAGGACCCTAACCAATACAATCTTCTCTTAACTCCATCTCGGCCCATGTGGCTAGACAGAAAGACCTAAATGGTCAGAGTATAGGCTAAGGCCATTGATCGTTGTAAACAAGCACGCGGGACTAATGACATTTACCCATTCTATCAAACAACTGAATGTGAGAAATAACACTGGAAGAAACAAGTTTCAACATTAATAACCGATGATAACATAGCATTCATACAAAAAGCATGTGATGTACTCTTGCCCACACCCGGGCAAGTAGGAAATGATGCTACAAGTAAAAAAAAAACGATAACTAACAAAAGGTGCTACTGTTAAGTCATGCTTCAACTCGAGGGGGAAAAACTACTACTGTCGTCCCGCGACGAAAGACCAAGTGACCTAGATGACTGCATCCCACTCTCCTTCCCCTTGCGATGTGCAAGGAACTTATCAAAACCTGAGGGGGCAATAGAATGATGCTCGATCGATATCCACTCCTTGGTAAGCTTGATGGACGCTGCCATCGCCTTCCCCCCGTACGAATGCAAAGCCTTGGCGTAATCAGACGATGACTTGTACTGCTCAACAGATTCCTCCAAGTCCCTAGTGTACTCAGCAGAGGCCTTATACCTCTCAACCGCCTCCTCCAGAGCACGAGCCAACACAGACCACAAATTGTCGTTCTCTATCTCCTGCTCGCGGGCTAGAGCCTCTGACGCCTCTAGAGATTTCTTTAAGGAAGATATATTCTTCTTGTAGTGATGAGCCTCCTTTTTCTTTTCCTCTACAAGAGGCTTCATCTCTAAGGCCTAGCGATGACTCGATTCAGCAAGCCCGATCTGAAGGGCCACCACCTAAAAGATGAAAAGACAATATGAGATTCGAGTGGTATAACCATGCCAATATATATATAGGAAAGGGACCCTAGTGGTAAAAAAGACAAACGCATTACACTGTGCTAGTTCATGCATCTCAAAGACACACCTAAAGAGGTCCATAGAAAGCGGAACTCTCCTCCTAAGACAAACATACAAGAAGTACAATGCTTTTCTCCAAGCATTGGGATTTATTTGACTAGGAGTGAGATGAAACTCATTTAAAACAACTATCCATGATGTCCTTATGCACCGCTATCTCACGGGGGTCGGACTTGGGAAGCCTCTCTTTGGGACCAGGGGCTCTATAGATATAGTCGTCGACTCGGTAATACTTAGCAAGACATTTCTCTAACTTAAGCGAGGAATTGTAAAGGCTATGACTTTTTGGAATTTCAAGGAGGACAATCTCGCCAGCCAGATCTCGCTCGATTTCTAAGTTTTGGTTTGGAGATTTGGTGGAGCTAATATGTCTCTTGGGGGAATTCAAAATAAATGCCTGAGAATCAACTAAAAGGGTTTGGCTATCAGACTTACAAGGAAACCCGTCAGACGAAGGGGGAGGCCAAAGGACTTCGATTAGTCGAACCCTCAACCAACCACGCGGACAGGCGACGGGGGGCTGGTCGACCCCGACTAGTCGAGCGACCAATGCTGGTCGGTCGATCGGCCTCACCTGACCGATCGGCTGACCAGTCGAACGAACCTTTTCCAGCGTCTATCTTTCTCTCATCGTTGTTTTCGTCGGAAGAAGAAGAAGTGAGGATAGTTTTGTACATGATTTTACAAAAAATGAAGAAAAAAGATGAGAAAGTTACCTTGGAAAAGAGGGAACCTTGGAAGAGAGGAAGAACTAAGGTGTTTGGAGGAAAAGGAAATGGCTCACATGTGAGGGACCATTCCCTTTTATAAGCAAAAGGGATTCAAAATTTTTGAGGGGAAAATTCCCTCCAAGATCATGCCCATTGAATGGGTGCCAAGTGTACAGTAGAATAGCTGCTGAACCAAATTGCACTACTCGACTTGTTCACTCGAGCTAATTTTATTAATAAAAAATAACAATAATAATAATAATAATAAAATCCGTATAAAGGAAGTTGCTACTTCTCTGTCGAAAAAATATCGACAGGGAATAGGGGTTAATGATATCGGTTAACATAAGAAATCGCTTCCAAAGATAGGCAATGTAAATCATAACATGTCAATGCGAAGTTATCAACCCCCCGGAGTGCGTCTACCTCTACAAGAGACCATCAATCCCCCGAGGTGCTCTACCTCTACGAGAGACTGTCGATCTCCTGGTGGCGCTCTACCCCTACTAGAGAACGTCGACCCCCCTGGGGGCGCTCTATCTCTACGAGAGACTAGCGACCGGCATGGAATTACCTATAAGGTCATTTCAACACTTAGCCTCAAAATCTCTTATGAATTAACAAGGTTACCTGGCGATCATCACGAACACAACCTCCGTGGGGTAGTTAAGACCCCCCACTCAAAACGTGGGGATAATGGGAAGGCCAACGTGGGACACGTGGCACCACAGCCACCCGACTCTCACTCGACTTCTGACTTCTATAAATACCTCCCAAGGGCGAGATAGGGATGGATGATTGCATATTTTTTAACTATCTGAATTTCGAATTTATTTTCTTCTAACACACCTATTGATTCTCACACCGGAGGTAAAACAAGGGAGAAAGCTCCGCCCTCACTTTTCAGGTTGCACGTATCCGTTAAAGTAGCAGAAACACTAAAGGTCGCAGATAGATTCAGGAGGCATTACTTCACCACCATTTCAAGGGCCACCGAGGAAGAAGTGAAATGAAGCTGTGATCTTTTCTCGTGTTTAAAAATTCATTCGGGTTAGGGGGAGGGGGATACACCTGATTTTTAAAAGAAAAAAAAAATTGTATTTTGTTAGTTAAATGAAAAGTTATAAAGTCGATGATGGTGTAATTTTCTCTTTCCCATCTCGCTACCTCGTCGATTTTTCTTCTCGAGTCCCTGGCATTTACACTTGCCCATATCTTGGGCCGGGCCCAAGAATCGCTTAGCTCCATAGAGAAAACATCGGATCCAGTACTGTTTCACGGACGCAAAATTCTGCCATTTTATCGACTATCCGGAGTGGCAGCTGCCTCCGTATTGGAAAACCTCAGATAATGGCGGGCGGCGCCATCACAGTTTTAAATTCTGTTGTCACAAGTAGTTTGGTCTCTTCATTTTTATCTGCTTCCAGTTACCGGGGGAACTTAATTACTCCTATCAACCTCGTGCGCACGTTAGCCTTCACCGCCCTATTCAAGAATACTCGCCGTCACCAGACCTTCAATAACAGAAACAGAAGCTTCAGCTGTGAATCCTCTGCTGCTACAGATATCAGTTCAACTTCTTCCACTTCTCTCTCCAATAATGGGTACCTTATAATTTCTTTTTGTATTCTCATAGAATAGCATGTTAGTTTCTCCACTTACATAGTGCACATTCAGTTTTTTAATTACTGTGAATGTGTACTGGTTTGGGTTGCAATGAAAATGGTAATTACCGTGTTCAAAATTATTGTAAGAGCAGAAAGACGTGATTTTGTTGAGGGATGGATGGGTAACATGGGGCATAGTTCAGTGGCCAGATACATTTTTAAGTTTGGTTACGAGTTAGTAACAGGGATAATAGAGATACATTTTTAACTGCAAATATTAAATAGTAATATTTGGCATACTTCAGCAACTATTAAGATATATTTTTAGATTCAATTATTAACACCCTCAAATCGACCTCTATGAAAGAAGATATCAAAGAAAATGAAGGAAAAAAGAGGAAACAAAAACCAGAGACCTACAAATCGAATAAAAATAGAACTTTTGCCGATGACTATCCATCATGGTGAAAAGTACATTTCACTTTTAGATCAATGGGTATTAGTTCACTATATTTCGAACTTTGCATAAAAAGATTGGAAGAGAGACTGTAGGAACACTTAAAGAAATTGACAGAAAAAATTAAATAAAAGTACAAATATTTTTGTTTTAGTGGAGGTCGATTTGATTTTTCAACTTTTCCCTTTTTTTCTTGAGTTTCTTTTTTCACATAGGTCGATTTGGGGCAAAAAAAAAGAAAAAAAGAAAAGAAATTGTTATTAGTTCATAACTGAACTTAAAAATGTATCTCAACGCTCATTGAACTTTAGCAAATGTTACTACTTCATAACTGAATTTCAAAATGTATTTCAATGGTCGCAAAACTATATACCATGTTACCCATTTATTACTCAAGTCGACGCCATTTGTTGAACTTAAAGGATTTTTCTCATTTTAGTGATGAATGGATAATATGGTACATAGTTCAATGACCATTGAAATACATTTTTAAATTCAGTTATGAAGTAGTAATAATTGACGAAGTTCAATGACCATTGAGATATATTTTTAAGTTTAGTTAAGTAGTAACACTTGGTAAAGTTCGGCAGCCATTCGGGCAATTAAGCCCCTATTTGGTTGGTGACTGACATGGGACTTATCTATTATATTATATTAAGATCTATTAAAAGATATAATTAGTGCTCAGATAGAATTATATAAAACTTTAATTGGTAAATCATGAATGATGGAAAACTATGGAGGTAGCCTTCCTTTCACAAAAAAAGTATAACATATCTTGTTGTCTGGTATATATGGAAGTTTGAATATCCAGCTGCCTGTATTAGGACAAAGGAAAATGTGTGAACTTTCAGTTTTGTACAACTGATAATGACATTTTCAATGTCGTCAATCAGTTATCATTTATTACTTTACTGCTAACACTGAATTTCATTAGTTCGTGGTTCAAAAATTGTTTTTTACTTATTCGTGATGTAAAATGTATATGTTTTATTTGCATTCCTCAGTCATTATTCCCCTCTTGACCACTTGATTTTTTTTTTTTTTCCAGCTACCCGATATATAGCCGCCTTCTTCCATGCCCCTCCCATAATGGGCCTCCAAGGGTGGAACACTTGGTTGTTTCAGAAGGAGGGTCTGTTTTAGAGTATATTTGTCAAGCTTTGAGTCTTCCTCCCTTGTGAGTTCTGCCATTTCTTTATCATTTATCTTCCAACTGTGACCTGGCGTGTGATATTGAGTTGTTCAAAGTTGATTCAGTGACAATTAGGTTAAAATATTGAATTTTGTATTTCATGTAAGGTTTGTTGCAGATCTAATTCACTTTGGAGCAGTATTTTATGCTCTTGTATGCCCAGACCCTCCTCCGAATGCCACGCCTGAGCAAATCAAAGTGTACAAGGAAGTTACGAATCCATCAGTTCTGAGAACAAGAGCATCTATTAAAGGGAAAACTATACGAGAAGCACAAAAAACTTTTCGCATAACACGCATTGATGAATTTGTTGAAGCTGGAACTTACTTACGAGTGCATGTACACCCAAAACGCTTTCCAAGGTATTTTATTAGATAATGCTTAGTCAATATGCCTTTTCCTGGAAGTTAGTACCATGTTGATTTAACTTAGCAAGGACGAATGCTTCCTGTGATTTATCTGCTTGGAACAGGTGCTATGAAATTGACTGGAGATCTAGAATCATTGCTGTGACTGATTCCTACGTTGTTCTGGACAAACCTGCTGGTACATCTGTATGTAGTTGTTCTTTCTCAACTAAATAATTGCACAGCTTTCTGTAAATTGAGAGTTTATTTGATTCCTGAAACTAGTAACTATGAGCTCCTCTATTTTTTACTTCCTGATGGATTATGAGTTTATTATAAATTTTAATATAAAACAGCTTGTTTAGTTTATTTAATAATGATTGATTCTTGTTTCTTCAGCCTTAAAAGTTCCATGCATCCTTTTCCACTTCCATAACTGTGGCAGCTAACAATATGTTACTTCCTAAAAGTTCTGTTCCCATGTTCCTCCACTGCACAATGAGAAATATTAGGACTAATGACATATTATGACCCCGTTTGGTACCCATTTTTGTAAGAATGAAAATGAAAAATATAGTTATTACGGGATCCACACAAGAAATAGAAAGTCAAATAAGGTGGCTTGATGTGATGGATAACGGTCATATTTTTCATTTTTGTGGCCAAAGAATGGGAATCAAATGGGGGCTATACCTGAAACTTCATTGACAGAGCATGCCAAGGACAGTCAAATTGGAAATAGAAATAATGTCTTTTGCCTGTCAATTCTCTTGGTAAAATATTGACTTTGTCTATGCAAATGTTAAATTTATATAGAATTTGGTACTTAATGTTCTTGAACAGATTTATTATCTTAAAGTCACAATCTTAACTTTTGTTGCGACGTTTTCTATAGATAGTCATACTTGGAATCTGATGAGCATTTTTCAAGATTAGTTTCTTGCCTGCTTATGATGCCCATGTTAATTCTGATCAGTGCCCATGTTAATTTTGATCAGGTCGGAGGAACTACGGACAATATTGAAGAAAGTTGTGTGACATTTGCTTCGCGTGCCTTAGGATTGGATGCTCCATTGAGGACTACCCACCAGATTGATAACTGTACAGAGGGCTGGTATGTCAAACAAATGCTTTCATCTATTGTATGGTAATGTGAATAGCGAAAACTGATGGCTTCAATTTTACATGCAGCGTCGTGCTATCAAGAACAAAAGAGTACTGCTCAGTTTTTCATGGAAAAATAAGGGTTAGTTTGCAATTTCTTCTTTTTGTTTGAATATCAGAAAATTGCAACTTTTCTTTGTAAAGATAATACTTATGGAGCGACCTTTTATTATTCTAGCAAATTATTCTCGGGATTTAGCTTCATCGGAAGATTCTTGAAACAGTCGTGGGTCTTCGCTTATAATGTCTACTACTTTCTATAGGAAAAACAAAATGACTAACTGTAAGAGTAATAGGAATATATACAAATTGTCCTCAGGAGAAAAAGGTGAAGAAGCTTTATCTTGCTCTTGCTGCTGATCCTGTGTCAATTGGAGTAATTACACACTACATGCGTCCAATTAATATTGCACCTCGACTTGTTTCTGAAGGTCAGCGGCTTCATTGCATAACTAACTGTACGAGAGTGTTTTATCTTTAAAAGTATAATCCTTTATGTTCCATTTACCCACACAAGAAAGACTTTTAACGAGATTTTTCTAGGCTCAGAGATATTTGTGTTTTGTATTCCCTAATGCGAGTCAAACCTGATGTGGTCCAACCAGATTTCGTTAAAGGATGGTATTTGTGCCGACTTGAGGTCTTGGAATGCAAGAAGGTTCCATGGCCAGATGCTTTAACTGAAAAGAAATATAGTATCGAAGATTGTGGATGGCCTGGTAAAGACTTTGCATACGAATGTAAAATTGACCTTTTGACAGGTCGAACGCATCAGGTATGTATTCTGTTCCCATCTATTGTGAAAGGGGAGCTGGAGCAAGGACGTGGCTTTTTGACGCATGCACTGTCCCCACTCTTTATCTATAGATAAATATGCACTTTATGTTATAGAATTATATTTTTTCTATGCTTTTTGTCCATCTTAATGACAATTTAGTTGAGTTTGATCACTGCTGTTAAGGGAATGACGTGATGTCTCTCCACATAAGACATTTGAAATTAATTTGCAACTCAAGTTCTATCATTACAAGTGGCTTGAGTTCCAGAAGAGTGGAAAAGAAGCAGCACATTGTTTCCTGTTATACTTGAAATTATAAGAAGTGTTGTTTCTGTTTCAGTTTCAAAGTTTACTTTTTTCCTGGTTGAAATTTCTAGAGAAGGGGGGCGGTGATTCGTAGTTTATGGGAGGGGGGAGATCATGTTGGATATCAGTTTTTGGGGTCATCAGGGGTTTCAGGAGGCATGTTGGTGATGTGGGACACTAGAGTACTTGAGATGAAGGAGGTGAGTATAGGGGTGTTCTCTATATCGATTTCTTTCAAAAATTGTGAGGATGGATTTCGGTGGATATTCACAGGAGTTTATGGGCCTAATTCTGATGACAGTAGAGTGGGTTTGTGGGATAAACTGACTGGAATGAGGGCTTGATGGAATCTCCCTACATGTATTGGGGGTGATTTCAATGTGATTCGATTTCCTTTGGAGAGGTCGAGTGGTGGGAGACTAACTAGGGCAATAGAGGAGTTCTCAGATTTTATTAGGGAGAATTTGTTAATGGATTTACCTATGATTGGGGGAGATTTTACCTGGTCATCCAATCGGGATCGACCCGTTCTGTCTCGTATTGATAGGTTCTTGATTTGTGGGGAGTGGGAGTCTAAATATTCAGATGTCACTCAGAGAAGATTGGGGAGGGTATTCTCAGATCATTTTCCTATTATGTTATCGGGGAATAGAAGGGGTGGTGGAAGAAGACCTTTCAGGTTTGAGAAGATGTGGTTGAAAGTAGAAGGTTTTAGGGAGCGAGTACAGACGTGGTGGACTTCCTATGAAGTCAGTGGGTCTCCCTGTTTTGTATTGGATCAGAAGCTAAAGGCATTGAAAGGGGACTTAAAAAAATGGAATGAGGAAGTTGTAGGCAATGTTAACTGCAGTAAAAATCAGTGTCTGTCAGAGATAGAGGAATTGGATAGGCGGGAGGAGAGTAAGGGGTTGACTGGGAAAGAGAAGGAGAGACATAGAGTATTAAAGGAAGAGATGGAGAGGTTGGTGGAGATGGAGGAGATTAATTGGCGACAGAAATCTAGAGTTACTTAGTTGAAAGAGGGGGATAAATGCACTAAATTCTTCCACAGGGTCGCCAATTCTAATAGGAGGAACAACTCCATCACAGTTTTGGAGGTGGACGGGGTTACTTATGAGGAACCACAGGAAATTGGAAGCCAACTGGTGAATTTTTATCAGAACCTCTATCAGGAGCAATTTGAATGGAGGCCAGAATTGGAGGAATTGCACTTTTCTACAATCACTGAGGATGATGCCCGATGGATGGAAAGACCATTTGGGGAGAATGAAATTAAGGAGGTTGTTTTCAGCATGAACGATGATAAGGCCTCGGGACCGGACGGTTTCTCGTTCTCATTCTACAAAGTGTGTTGGGATGTGGTTCGACTGGACATTGTGAATATTTTATCTTATTTTTTTGAACGTGGCAGATTCTAGAGAAGTTCTAATGCCACATTTATTGTGCTCATCCCTAAGAAACAGGGAGCGACTGATATTAAGGACTTTCGCCCCATTAGCTTTGTCAGCGGGGTGTATAAGATTATTTCGAAAGTCTTGGCAAACAGATTAAAGGAGGTGCTGGGAAAAGTAGTGTCCAAGTTTCAGAATGCATTTGTAAAAGGGCGTCAAATTTTGGACTCTGTGCTTATAGCGAATGAATGCATAGATTCAAGAATGCGCCTAAAGGCCCCAGGGATGCTTTGTAAGCTAGATATTCAGAAGGCTTACGACCATGTGAATTGGGGTTTCTTGTTGTATATGCTCAGGCACTGTGGCTTTGGGGATAAATGGTGTAAATGGATTCAATTCTGTATTTCTACTGTTTCATTCTCAGTTTTGGTCAACGGAACACCAAAGGGTTATTTCCAGAGCAGTAGAGGCTTGAGACAAGGGGATCCATTGTTCCCATTGTTATTTGTCATTGTGATGGAGGCTCTCAGTAGGATGATTGAAAGAGCAGTGAGAGCGGGTTTGATAGGGGTTTTATGGTTGATCAATTGCAGGTGTCTCATCTGTTATTTGCAGATGACACGTTGATTTTATGTGATGTAGATGTTGAACAATTCAGGAACTTGCGCCGTCTGCTCTTATGTTTTGAAGCGGTGTCTGGTTTGAAAATCAATTTGGGGAAGTCTGAGGCTATTCCAGTTGGGGAGGTCAATAATGTCGAGGAGCTGGCTGATATAATGGGTTGTAAGGTTGCGCAGTTGCCGATGTCATATCTAGGACTCCCGTTAGGGGCACGATTTAAAAGTACCCATATCTGGAATGGTATTGTGGAAAGGATGGAGAGAAGGTTAGCAGGGTGGAAGCGTATGTACCTTTCTAAGGGAGGCAGACTTACTCTCATTAAATCCACTCTCTCCAATCTCCCTACTTACTTTTTGTCATTGTTCCCCATTCCGATTGCAGTGGCAAAGAGATTAGAGAGGCTTCAAAGAGAATTTCTATGGGCAGGGTTGGGAGAGGAGAGGAGACTCCATTTGGTCAATTGGGGAGTTGTTTGTTTGCCGATGAGGATGGGGGGTCTTGAGGTGAGGAGCTTTGTGTTGTTCAATAAAGTCTTATTAGGCAAGTGGTTGTGGCGATTTGGAGTGGAGAGGGACAGCTTCTGAAGAGAAATAATTGGGGCGAAATATGGTGTGACCGATGGGGGATGGTGTACATTTGAGGATCGTGGTTCTTATGGGGTGAGCTTGTGGAGGTATATCCAACGGGGATGGAGCGCATTTTTGGACAAACTGAAGTTTGTGGTTGGAAATGGTAATGAGATTAAATTTTGGGATGATTGTTGGTGCGGAGATCAACCGCTGAAGGAGAGATTCCCTTCTTTGTATCGTATTGCCTCAGTGTCCACTGCCATGGTGAGTGATCTCTTAGACATTCATAATGGGAGCTATAGCTGGAATATTACTTTTGGGAGGAATCTTCAGGATTGGGAATTGGAAGATTATTCGTTTTTTATGACTATTTTACATGAGGCCCAAATTCGGGTTGGAGAGAGGGATTGTATCAGGTGGAGGACAGCACAGGATGGCATTTTTTCGGTTCGCTCGTACTTTGGTTCCCTCATGGGATGTGTGAATAATTCATTTTCCTGGAAGTTGGTATGGCAGTGTAAATTACCTCCTCGGGTGGCATTCCTATTGTGGATAGTTGTGAGGGGACGGGTCTCAACGGTGAATAATCTTCGTCGTAAAGGCTTTTATGCAACCGAGTAGTGTTATATGTGCAAGAAGGATGGGGAGTCGATCGATCATTTGTTCACTCATTGTGATGGTGTACGTTGGATTTGGAACAGTATAATCAATTCACAATCTATGGATTGGGTGATGCCTCGTCGTATAGAGGACGTGATACGGGCATGGCATAGAAAACTTCGGGATTAGGATAGCAAACTAGCATGGCACCTTATCCCGGGCTGCATTGTTTGGTGCGTGTGGAGAGAAAGGAACAACCGTTGTTTCGAAGACCAAACAAAGACAAGAGAACAGATAAGAGAAACATTTTACTTTACCTTGTATTCTTGGTTTAATGCTATGGCTAGAAATCCTGTAGATGGGTTGCCTAATTTCATGTTTTTCCTTAATAGCTTAAAGTGATTGTACACCCCCGGTGTATTCTCTTTTAAGTAATAAAATTATTTGATTACCTATCAAAAAAAAAAAAAAAATCTAGAGAAGGGGACAGGTAGAGAACAGAAAAACAGTTGACTGCAGGAGCAATGTCAAATTTTCCTTTCTCATAATAAATACAACATCTGTGTATAAGAAAACCAATGTCACATACGCTAAATTACTGGATTGAGTTTCAAATTTTAACTTCTTACTGATTTAGTTGGAATTTATTGAGAAGGATGGGAGTAGAGAATACGTGAACATTTGACTAAAGAAGCACCTTGTCTCTTTTCTATTAACAAATGCAACTGCTGTTATTATTTTTACCATGACATGATCTCATGATTGCAGATTCGGGCACAATTGGCTGCTTGTGGTGCCCCATTAGTGGGCGACTCCATGTATATGCCAGCTGCAATTGCTGAGATGCGCAAACCAGGGCTTAATCCATTTGGCAAGTACAAAAAAGCATATGCCACTGAGAATGATAAAGAACTGCATGTTGAAGAGTGGATTGCATGCCATGGAAAGGAACCTAGCGTTGCTATTGGTCTCCAGGCATGTCAGATTTCGTGGGATGAGGGAGAGCACGTTTATGAGGCTAGATCTCCATGGTGGAGGTAGATAGCTAGATGCATCAGCTTTACCAGAGTACTTGACAAAATTGATAGTATTCTCTTGCTTAAGGTAGATCTCTTATCACTTTATCTCGTCTTTATGTGCAAACTATTAATCATATGCAGTTAGCAATTTTCTTCTTTCATTTGCAATTCTTGCATACATTGGTGGATTTGCTAGTGAGGGTTGTTTTGATAGTGAAACTGAAGGGAGAACAGTAATTCTAGAGCAGGAACTTCTGCGAATATCATTCAGTTTGATGTTGAGATGAGGCAAATAATAATCATGAGAATTAAGAATGTGCACTAGGATAAAAAAGTTGCATAACTCACCCAACTTAATAGTTTCTTATTCTTTTAAATTTCTCTTTCCTTTTTTCACTAAATCTTTTCTCAGTCAGATGGGCTTCTTTTTTCAAAAAAAATAATAAATAAATAAATAAAAATAAAAGGAAAAAAAATTGGCTGTGGGCTAGTTTTGGTAATTTGTTCTACAGGAACTCAAAATGTGTGAAATCTCACAGTAAGAAAGTTGACAGAGTAAGACATTGAAATCAAATCTAGCTTATGATCGTACTTGCTTTCAATATTTTTCATGTTTTAATGGAACGAATATTGGGCCTCAGTTTGCAAGTACATTTTCAAAGTATTTTCTGAATTAAGCATATTCTTCAAACAATAGGACACAAGCATGCCAAAGACATATTTCCTTCTCCATCCCAGGAATCCTAAGAACAGCAATATTTACAGTCTCTAAATTAGAAATGTATGAAATTAGCTTTTGGCTTTGGGTTCGGTTCTTATGTGTTCTGTAATGAAAGTCTCTGTAACAAGTTGCCAATAACTTCGGAAATGTCTTTAAATTGACCCAATCGATGCAGTAAACCCAGAACGTTTACTGTATCCACTTGACCATTCAAAGCTGTCGAGGAGGGACCAGACAAAGTATCTCCTCACATCTGCTCCCGTCCTGTTCATGTAGTAAAGTACACAGATGAAAGGATGTGATGCAATGTCAATTCTCAATTTTAGGCCTAAGTTTGTCGCGTTTTGGAATTTCAAGTACTTGGAAATGTTTTAAACCAAGTGCATCATTTATTATTGATCTATGTGTTGATAGACAAGAAATTTATTTATTTTTTGCATTATGTACTACTGTGCATCCCTCATGGCTGTTCACAGGGCATCTAAGTGGTTGGCCATGTACTTCACTTGCTGTTTGTCATTTATAAATTCTTCAATGGGACTCCAATTTCTGACCTTGCAATATCCTAAAATTCATCTTATATTTGTCAGCATATCAAATGACTGAACTGCAGATATTAATGGTGGTGTAGCTTATAAAATCTGAAGTTTCTCTGAACCTGATATAACCCCAAATTAGTAATTAGTTTAACTATTCTAGAGTACTCCATAGTTAGTTAGCAAAAAGGGCAAAAATGTAATAGAAAGCTAGTAAATTCTCTATAAATGTAGTAGGGAGGTGCTGGGATAGGCAGGAAGGAAAATATTGGGTAATTTGTTAAACCAATTGGGGAGAGATCCAGCCTCTTGAAAGCTTGGAACTGTTTTGTCAATTTCTCTGTTCCATTTACTACATTAATAAACATTTTATTTCCATATACACTTGAGTACAAGTTATCCATAGTTCTGCAGCTTCAATTCTACATACGTATTCCAATTTACACATCGGTTGCCTAACTAATCTACAGCACAGCAGAACAGCAGGTCCATAACATCAGATATTCAGCAGTCCAATAGAAAAAAAGCCTCTTCGGTGGTTGCAGCAGCTGATTCACCCTCTGCAGAACTAGCACCAGCTTGGGTTCTTATCAGAACCCTTCTCTTCCCAAACCCCAAATTTTTATAACATATAGAAGGATAAAATCCTGAAAATAATCAACAAATTGGAGAGACGAACATAGAAATTGGGAATTATATTGTCCTTATCTGCTGTACCATTTTCTGTAATAATTATTGGTATGTTATTGAATATTTCTTATAAATATGTGATCAGTCTTTCCATTCCTTGTATGTAAAACATGTTTTAGGTCAGCAAAAGCTAGACACTTCAGTAATTATGCAACGACCAAGTGCTGAAGCTATGGAGAATCGGAGATGGTAACAAACTTAAAATTCCCCAATGGGAGCGCCATCCTTATTTGTTGTTTGTTTGGTTAAACCTTCTATTCTCGAGGTCCCTAGCATGGTTTGAAAACACAGATGAATGAGAAATTGAGGTCAAACTTGAATCACTTAAGACATAAAAATTATTTGAAGTTGTAATCATATTTGGTTGAAAAAGTGCCTTTTTGAGTGAAAAATCATGTCTTTTGAACAAATGTTATCCACATGCAAGTTTTAGGAGACCTGGCTTATTTGATAATTTTTTTCTTGAATAATACTGCTTGTACATAACAAGTTATATAATGGTTTGCATACAAATAAGGTGTCAAAAAGGGATTGAGATTTTTTATTTTTATTTTTTTTAGTTGAAGAAATTCCGATTCAATTATATCTCATCACATCATGTGTGTGTAAATTATTATGTACATGTAGAACAATAGCTTTTATCTTTTGGAACACTTCTCTCATCTATATCTAGGAACCTGTCATTTACAAAGTCCATTCTTTATGATCATCTTTGATCTGTTATACTTATGCCGTGCATATAATAAATGGATTTTGCCATTTAGACTGAAAAATTGTAACAAATACAGTGACATAATTCCAGTTGGCAATAGATGATTTGATGAAAAAGTTTGTTTAAAACAATCCAATGATGGGATGCCACGTGAAATTATGTTAACGACTATATCAATGATTATGTTACTGTAGCATGATCGATAATATAAATACTCTACATTAATATATTTTCATAAGAAAGTACAATATGTGCTTCTATTTTGTTGTCTTTTATGGCTTAAAGTGCTACCATCACAAAGAGAGATTGTTGTATTTTGAAAAATAATTGTCGTTCATTTTGTGAGCACCATTGTGAAGTAAATTCATCTTAAGGACGAATGGTCAAATTTTGCCTCAATCTACAATTTCTTCTATACGTCTGATTTTTGCATTTTTGCCTTGTTAAGTGCATGCTAATCTAAAATTAGTCGTAATATAAATTATGCATTAAATGTTACTTATTGAAACAAAAATATTTTTCTTTTAAAATGGATCCCATTGCTGACTTGGATGAAAACTTGAATAGATTTATCAAACTGACCCAAGACTTTTCCAATCGTGATGAAAACTTTCAAAAGATTATCTTGCAAGTGGTATTATTAAACTCTAGAAGTTATAGGCATAAAGACTTGAAAAATGCTCTAGAATATGGATCACCATTGAGATTACCATTAATGCCCTGAGAAATCAAGAATTAGAACTAAAGCCAGATTCTGGAGAAAATTCAGGAAGTGAAAATTTAGGGAAAGTTCTGGTAAATCAAATTATTATTCGAAGAAAGAAAATAATAGTGATAATAAAAAGAAAGGTCAAGATATATCTAAGTCCAGGAATAAAGGAAAAGGGAAAAAATTTGTTTCTTTTATGGTAAATAGGATCATTTGACTAAAGATTGTCATAAGAGACAAAATGAATTAAAAGAACAGATAATGGGAAGGTGTTGCTGCTCTGTGTGTGTGTGTGGATTTTTTTTTTTTTTTTTTTTAAGTGGTGGCGGTCTTCTGCCCTGGTTAGTCACCTGGGTAAATTCGAATGCAGTCACAATTTATACACACATGGGTCAGACATTTGGGATGCGATTCTTCTTCCTGTGGTCCTCCTTTTATGACGTGCGAATAGGATTTCGAAAAGACGACAAAGCGCATCATAACTTTGCCTCTACAAAACATATGCTCATGGGGGCCAAGGGACTACTGTTTTAGTTTACAACGAGGGGGAGACTGAGAATGCTATTGTGCTTGTAAATACTTTAAAGTACTTGAATCAAGAATGGAACAGGAAATAATATGACCTGCAAAATTGATGGAATTACGACAGTGAGGATACTTTTAGAAAATGGTACCATAATTGTTCTTGAAAATTAGATTTGTACCTGAACTTTATCGCTAGGTGTGCTACATAATATGTAGTGTAACGTACAAATTGGTTTAGGACAGGATTTGACTTGGTAATTAATTCTTTAAAAGAGACTTGGTATGTATTTTCTAAAAGCTAAGCCAATTACAGGCTTAACAGCAACTACTTTAAATAATAAAATCACATTAGTAAAACTGTTATATGATAGATTACGTCATATATGAAATAAATTCCTAAAATCTTTAAAAAGTCGAAGCGTTTTTGGTAAACATAATCTTGGAAATTTTACTTTTTGTGAACAATGTGTTACTGGTAAGCAAGTTAAATTTACTTTTTTTTTCTTTTGGATTTCATAAATCTAAACATCCAATTGATTACTTGCATGTTGATTTGCACTTAGTTTGATTTTAAATATTATTTATTGATTATTGATGATTTTTTTTTTTAGAAAAATGGGCATTTTTGTTAAAAACTAAGGATGAAACATTCAAAGTCAATTGGAAAACACAAATGGAAAATCATATAGCTCATGAGGACTAAAATATATTGAGAACTGACAATAGCAATGTTATTTTTTTTTTTAACGTTTCTTGATTATTTATTATTTTATTTTTTTGTCTCTCTTTTCTTGTGATTAATATAAATTTTGTATCCAAAGAGGTTTCCTTTTGTGACCTAAACAAGGTCAATTTTATAGGTGAGGAAGAACTTTGAGATTTGTGCTTTGAAAAGAAATCATGGATCACGATAACTAAAAAAATAAAAAATAAAAAAAACCAGCACAATTATCATGGCCATTGTCCTCAATATAATACAATCTCATATAAATAACATCAAATTAGCCAAAAAAAATAATAATAAATAAAAAATCACAAAATCACAAAACCTAATCACAATTTAGTCATCATAAATAATTTCAATTTGCAAAACAAACTATCCAACTCATTCAATCACACAGATAATTTTTTTTTTTTCCTTAGAAAATTAATTACACTATTCCCTCAAACTTAAATACATGTTATCCTCAATGTGAGCACAAAATAAGTATAGAAGAAGGGTTAACAATACTCATCGTGTAAATAAAGATATTTCTTATCTTCCTTCTTCTCTCCTTCGCATATTCTTGCAGAACATTTTGATCATACCTGAAATGAAAAAGGAGAAAAAATTAACAATTCACTCAAATAGGAGTTAAAGCGAATTTGATTTCTAATTATTTATGTAACCTAGTTTTCACCTTAGACTAAACCTATTTCAAATAATAGAAACTATATTTTTTTTTTTGAATTTTTTTTAATAATTCTTTTATATTTGGTTTTTTTTCCCTAAAAATATTTAATTAATTTTTTTTAAATTAAAGCCTTTTTTAGATGCACATGCAAACCTATTATAATATAATCTAAGATAGAAAATTTGGTCGCCTCCCAATAAACGGTCAATTTATAGTCTTGAGCATGACTTGGGCAATGATGTTTTTGCGGCACTTCAACTAGGGTTTTGGATGTTTTGTTTTGCTTGCATAGATTGTCTTTGCACCACACTTCACATGTCCTTCAAAATGTAAATTTTCCTTCTTGAGTACAATATAACTTGTCTAAATCCCATGATTTGAACTTAACTAAGAATACTTAAATCTCTTAATCGATTTTAATCACAAAATCAATGATGTTGGAAGTTTGCATCCTAATTTCATCTTGTTTGAATGCCACTTATTCTTTTGGTCACTTTCCCGATTAATTCTTCTATCTCCACGATCTTCTTTTTTAGTTGTTTATTCCTCACGTTGAATGGCAAAAAGATTCCCCATAAACATGTTATTTGGCTCATTCGAAATTAGTTGAACTTATATTTTTGCATGGCAAAGACCTCTCCCCTAAGTATATCGCTTCATCATATTCTACAGATGGATTATCATGGAAATTTCATTGATTCATCAAATGTAGCCAACAAGAAACAACTCATAGTATAATGTAAAATCCTACTGTTTTCACAAGTTAGACTCATCTCTTCATTTATCAACTGGTGGGAGAAATTATTCAGTTGGTAAATTGCCCTCATAAAAATTGATAAGTAAATTGTATTCCATCTGTTAAATAGTTGTATGAAGAAAATATCTCTCCCAATCATGTCACCAGCATCAATGTTGGGATCAATTATTGCGTATTCTTGCTTCATTTAGTTCCCTATTAATGAAACAAAGAAAAATAAGTAGATCGGCTAAAACAAAATAAAAGCGATAATCAATTTAACCAAGAATTAAATAAAAATAGACCCCGACAATAGAGGCAAAAAGCTTGTTGATTTTATATTTCTCAAGTACGTGAATTGTAACTAGTAATAAAATGAATATAAAGTTTCGAATTATCGTTTACATGAGTACTATTATGTAATGGTTGATTCAATTATTCCTAATTTCAATTTGATTAAAACAATTAATTGTGTTTCCTTTTGCGATTTTAAATATACTAAAGTAATTAACAAATGCATATGATGATTCTTATTTTTATTTTATATGACAATTTAAGTGTTAGAATTCATGAATTCATCATAGTTATCGCCTTAATCTGAATTACTAATTTTGATTATAATTAATTATGTGTACTTGGTTGACTTTTTCAAAATTCATTGAGTTACCTCTCTCGACTTTAAAACAATTATATCAAATTAAGTTAAACCACCATTTCTCTATGTGAATTTAAACATGCCTTAATCAAAGCATTCAATCACCAAATAATTTAATTAATGATCTCGACAACCATAAAAGTGTACATCTATCATTCTATTCAAATTGAAGATTTTTACTACGTGATATAAACAAATAACTCAACCTTCAACATAATTGTCGGTCACAAATCAATAAATTAATGGCCTATTAATACAAATCATTAGGAATAGGAGTAAAAAAAAAATATCTCAAGCATCAATTGAAAATCAAAAATATGATAGTTAAAATTAAGGTTCAAATTA